AGCCAAAGGGTTTGGGCGTTCGGAGTACCACCTTGGGCACTGCGGTTGCTGCCTTTGTACATGCATTTCTGCCAAGTAGCATTAATTTATGGGCAACTATAGTGGGTACCCCATCACTAGATAAGTTGGGTAAAGTTACAATTGTGTTACAATGTTACCAAGTGTTACAATGTTACAGTGTTACAATGTACAGAAGTTACAATGTGGTAAAGGGCAATGGTTACCTTGATTGCTTTTGATGGGGAAAGAATACCTGATATAATATATTATATGTTAAATAATGTATTATATAATTATATAATATATTATATAATTATATAATATATTATATGTTAAATAATGCCTTTATATAATAAATAATATATTATATGTTAAATAATGTATTATTTAGCAAATAATACATTATTTAACATATAATATATTATTTATTATATAAAGCATTATTTTAGTAAATAATGACTTTATACGCTAAATAATTTGCTAAATAATATTTTTACCGTTGGCACCCCATACACCTAGGGCCAAATACCTTTCTCGGAAACGAAAACTTACTGCTTGATATAGTTATTGGTCAGGTGACACACATGCATTAAATTTGCTGTAGATTTTGTGTGTGGGTCTTAGTCAACTGCGATTACCATTAATGCTAGAACTTGATCTGTGTGGCTCAGTACACGAGGATTGATCATTCTAATTAAAAAATACATTCAAACAGTGTCATTATAACATAAAGCCTAAATGCTTGGATTTAGGTGCGTTTCCAACAACAGCGGTTTTGATATACTAAATGCAATGGTCTGCATGTGTGCGTACATAACCGTGGAATGCGTGCAGTCGTGAACAAACGAACCCGTCCTGCTTCAGGTATGTCCGACATTTCAACAGGACTGGTCTGACACGCCCTCTGGTGGCCGGAGAAAAACATGTGGCTGTCGCGTACGCGGTCGACGCTCGATCAGTACGGCGTGCAGGCCGACGCTGTGCTGCACTTCACTCCGATGCACAAGGTTCTGCACATACAGCTTCCAGACCTGCAGTACGTCGACATGCGAGTTGACTTCTCTGTGAAGGTGTTTGCGACCGTCGTGAGCATTAGCAAGGAATTAGGTACGTATCCAACATAATCCAGCTATCCAGCATAATCTGCCTACACGGATGTAATGCCTTTAGGGATAGAAATTACACGCACGTCAAAGTGTCCCTAAATTACATAAATTATTGTAATATTGTCAAGTGCATTCTGCAGAATCATTTTGTTTAAACACTGAAAGTACAATTCTGTTTTTAGCTCATCTGACGAAGTCAGTTGCAGCTTGTAGAATCGCATGAGCGTGCGTCCGTGCGTCCGTCCGTCCGTCCGTCAACAGTTTGGCACAAATCTTAACGCTCGACGTCACCGGTCACGATATTCGGGACGTCGGGGGGGGGGGGGGGGGTTATCGTGAAAAGCGACTCGGGATGACCAATTTGGGCGGTCAAGGCCCGTCAAGGTCAAGATGTGGGCCAACAGATGGGTTAATATTTCCCCCTTAACTTAAGTATAGGAGGAAATACGGAATTGCGGCACAAATTCTGACGGCTCGACCTATGCTCTTAATATTCGGTGTTATAGTGTGATGGGCAGGAAACCCTCACCAGCTGCGAAATTGGAGGTCACAGGTCAAAGGGCAGTGAGGCGAAAGTCAGATATCAGACAGTTTTCTGAGGGACATGGCCTAATGGACAGAGTGAAAAACTTTTTTTGTTTCAGGCACTGACCTACATTTTTATCACTTTATTGAAAAGGGACCATGAAATGCTGCTTTCCACTGACGTGCGAAGAGTAAGTGTCTGATAACCTTTTGACCCTCAAGAGGAGGGTTAAACATGGGATTTGTTGACTGTTAACAAAGGACTAAACTGTGTTTGATGGTACTTTGTGTGATTGTGGAAGACTTAAATTTTCACAGTGAAATTCTGCATGCAAAACTTACTTGAACAACGTTTACGCCGCCTTAAATCATATATGAACTTCATTCTCTATATGAGATTCTGTACGTTGGGAATACAATGTCAATAGCACTTACGCAAACGTTCTGTTTTTGATTAAGGCCAACAACACTAATAGGCCTACCTCGCAGATCGTGTGGGTGGCTGATTGAGTACCCCAGCAGGGTTTTCGTCTATATTTCAGGCCGGTTACAGGAGTTAATTTGCATATTTTATCACGTGGTTTGTGTTATAACCAATCAGATGCTAATCGCGTGTTCGTGACGTCCACTTCCACTGTGAAGCACGATGGTGAAGGAGAGAGGAAGGGGGGAGAAGGGAGAAGGTGGTGGAGAAGGAGGAGGGGGAGAAGGCTGGTGGCAGAAGGAGGAAGGGAGAAGGGAGAAGGTGGTGGAGAAGAGGGAGGGGAGAAAGCTGGTGGAGAAGGAGGAGAGGGAGAAGGGAGACAAGGTGTGTGGAGGAGGGGGAGAAGCTAGTGGAGAAGGGAGGGAGAAGCTAGTGGAGAAGGAGGAAGGGGAGAAGGGAAAGGTAGGATGGGAGAGCGGAGGAGGGGAGAAGCTGGTGGAGAAGCGAAGGGCAGGCGGGCAGAAGCTGATGCTTGGAGAATGAAGAAGGGAAGAAGGGAGAAGCTGGTGGAGAAGGTGGTGGTGAAGGTGGTGGAGAAGGTGGTTACATCTGATTGGTTATAACACAAACCACGTGACAAAATATGCAAATTATCTCCTGTACCGGCCTGAATATAGACAAACCCATCACAGCATGGGCTAAACGAAGGTAGCAACTAGTTCGGATTATCTATTCCCTGCACCTAGTCAGTATGCACGCCATCTATCCGAACAGAGTGAGAAGAATTACGTAACTGATACAGTAGCGCGCCGCGTGGGTGTTATTTGTTTATAAACAATTTAGTCTGACTGACTCTCTCCCTCTCTCTCCTCTCGCCCACTCTCTCTCTCTCTCTCTCTCTTTCTCTCTCTCGCCCCCCTTTCTCTCTCTTCCTCTCTCTCGCTCTCTCTCTCTCTGCAATAAAAAAAATGTTTGCTGAAATGATGTGTACGCAACTGCGTATCTGCATATCTGCGCCTAACAAAGGTGTCACTACGATCGACTGAAATGTTACGTTTATAACCGTAGCAACAGACCTCAGATGAGCCCAGACGCTCTGCGGCTCTTGTTGATTTTTTTTAATCGTGTGTAACAGAATTTTCAGGGGGTCACGCTGTCTCAAGCTTATGTCAAATCCGTATATGAAAATCACCCTTTACTATATTTAGGTGCATTATGGTTGTCTGGGTTAGTAGTGACAAATTGGAGAACTTGGCTGAATTGTTTATAATAGATATAAATTATGATCCGGCCTAAAAAAATACCATAATAATGATTAATAATATCTCCATTGTACTAACCTTTGTGAGGTAAAAAATGGGGGCGGTTGCATAGTAAATATAAAATTGTATTCAGATATTGCGGATTGAAATCCTTGTGACTGTATGTGACAGCTGTTCAGTCTCAGCGCGTTTTATACAGGCATCAGACATCCAGAGGAGCTCTCCTTACTTATACCGCCTACGGCAAAGGACATTCGGAAAGGCAAAAAGCCGGAGAACAAGCTGCACGTACAAGACACGGGCAGGGACAGTCTAAACACATCTGCCTCGAGTCAAGCTCAAAACATATCCGGCCAGCGCACCCCCACGCCCGGTACCCCGCAGGTACGTAGGCGCGATTACGCCAGCAGTACAGACTACAGATGCTCGTGGCCGTAGTGATGCTGTCGTGGTATCAAGCTGTCGTAATACTATGCTGCCGCTACGCAGCCACTCTCAACACGAACGCAGAGCTGCTGAGTGGCTTACAGTAGAACCGTTTTTGAGCCGGGGCGGCTATAATCAACATTGATATGTAACACTTTGGTTGTAGCTAGTCAAACATTGGAGGCAGTTGCCTTGGAGATCTCCGGTCATGCATGTAGCAATACAGTGACTGTTAGTTCACGTCGTCGCCATTGTTGGAATTTATCGTTGAAGCTTAATATCTAATATGAGTATATGAAAAAATTGAGTTGTTTTCACAGGATTTGTTTTTACATTTACTTGATGGATTGAGTGTTTATGATGTAATATCTGCTGGATTGATGGACGTATATTTTTAGTTACGATGTGCAGCGCTTGTGATTGGGTTTTTGGTTTCGGCGCATATTTTATATGCTGTTCAGCAGCTAGATAAGGATGATGATTGATTTTTCTGATTGGTATTTGGTAGAGATTGATGCAGCAGTTGATAGATGGGAATAATTAATAGATGGTGACATTGCTACATGTGCTGCAGGGAAACATGGTGTAGACACGTCTGTAGATGGGAAGGGTAGTAATGTTAAGATGTAAGCTATGGATGGGAGTGAATGGATGGGACAGGAATGCTCTACATCACTAAGGTAGAGACTGGTGGTGGAATAAGGAAGAGATGGGCGATTGAATGGGCAGAAATAGGTGGTTGAATGAGGTAATAATGCAGTGGATGAATGTGGTAGGGATGGGGTGGTTGAATCAATGAATGAGATAGCAATGGCATGGTTGAATGTGGTAGGGATGCGGTGGATAAATGTGGTAAGAATGTGATGGAGGAATAGGTACCCTGGCTGCCACATCCTTTCCCGCACGGTGAAGACGGCTCAACTGCCGAGTTCTGTTGGGACAGGGTACCATGAAGGCCTGCAAGAGCTCTGAACATCTGGAGTACCAGGCAGCAGATCCATTAGGCTACTGGAACTACAAGTATCCAGGAGTGCCATACCCATCAGTAATGAACCGCCTGCCCTTACTAGTCAGCGTGTCGGCATGTACTAATCAGAAGCGTATGAACTCCCCTACCCGAGCTAACCCTGGCATGTGTCACCCCTCCGCCTCCCCTAGCGCACTAGCAGTGCTATATAGTACAACCTAGTGAGGAATACATGCGTGTTAACTAACAGCAGTCAGCTGCGTGCGTCGGATGTAGAGAGGTACCATCGTGGTGTTCACCTCTAGCGGAGTTATGATGGTGATGATGATGTTGATGATTATGATAATGATGGTGACGACGACGATGGTGATATGGTCATGATTGATGATCAAACGTGAAGAAAGTCACAAGGCGGTGTTGAATGGCTGCTCCTTAAAAATATTTGATGAGTAGCAATCTTTGATGGAGATGTGAAATACGCATCAGTTATAGAATATCACACACGTTGAATGTATAACGTTTTCTCATTTGCCTTAGTGGAAATTACTTACAGTTACACTTTACTTACTTATAATACAATTACACTTACTGACTCACAGCATGAATTCAACATGTGAAATCTAACTTCTTAGTTATTTCTACAATAGATATATTGAAATTTTTAAATAAAAAAACTAGAGAGGTATCATTAACAACTATGGTTCATTAATTAGTAGTGGTGTAACGGTTAACCGCGGTTAACCGAAAACCACGGTTTTTGCGCCACCATTCGGATATTCGAACCGTCGTTCCGTTTTCGGCTCGGTTTCGATTCCACATTTTATATATACCCGATATATACGCTTCTTATATACGACGTATATATATACGATATATTCCTGTACAAAGGTTTTGTTGAATTTGCCCTAACATTTGGGTATTGTATATTAAAGGTTTGTTGTTCAAAGAATTTTAGTGACATTATTATTTAATATTTATAAACCAGTCTGATTATTAAATTTGCACTTCTGTTTGGTGTTATAAGATTTGTAATTGATCGCAAATATTCGAACCGAAAATAACCGAACCGAAATGTGAAAACCGAAAACCGAACCGAACCGTGAAGTTGTGATTCGTTGCACCCCTATTAATTAGATTGCAACAGTAATGTTTTCCTCCTTTGTTTTATATATATGTGCTTGCCACATAAGTGTGGATAAGCACTTATTCCACATAACTGATAGTTTTGTAAATATTTACCTTAATAACGTGAAGCCTGTGAGGCAATTGTGGTAAAAAGCCGACGCATGCAATGACAATATGCCTCCCAAGTTATGGCAGTAACATGCAAATGATGCTGCGATAGCACCAGATGTAGATAGAGTGTGCATGATGAACGTTTTGTGACTTTGATGAAGGTTGAATTCTAATTTATAAATTCACTACATACTCTCTGTATGCAAATTCTTGAAATTTTGAAATAATTTTATAGGGTTATTAAGTTTTCTCATGGAATTTGTATGATTTGGTACTCTTAATTGATTCATTGATAATTGGTTATTGGTTTGGCATCATTATTGTACTAAAATTTCTAATTTTATTTTTAATAACTGCTACTTTCTCCTCATGCTTGTAATTTCTATGACAAACAATCCAATTTACATCGTATATCATTAAATAGTAATAGCAAGCTATATTGCAGTATCACTAAGTCGGCTATAAACATCCTACGACAAGAAAATGTATTGATGGTGACATGCACACAGGTACGTGCTAGGTGCATAAATTTGCATGCACGTGTGGCTTGATTGCAGTAGTTTCGTGGTTTTATAGTTCTGCTCTGGTTTGCAGGGCACGTTTCGCAGCCCTGGCACACCAGCCAGTCTGCAGTTCAATGCCAACGATGGCGGCACACCAGGCGCTGCCGCCAACAATCACTCGTTCGATAACAGTCTCCTGTTAAACGGAATCGAAGCCAATGGACTCGCCCTGAGTCCAGTGGCACCACCTAAGGAGGGTCTGGTCAGACCACGGAACTTTGTGGAAAAGGCTAGAATAAATTCTGGGTAAGGCGTTTGATAAATATGTTTATCATTATTAGCTCATCTGACATAGTCAGATGCAGCTTGTAGAATCGCATGATCGTCCGTGCGTCCGTTGAAATTTTTTTTCCCACTTGAGTTCCGGACCCACCATAGATAGTGTTTTGTAATATATGGTTCGTATATATATGGTTGGATTATAGTTAGTGTTAGGGTTCGGGTACGGGTTAGGGTTAAGGATAGTGTGTATTCATTTTACATTGTTGCTTCGAGGAAGTCGAGTGAATGGAGTGCGCTGATTGGCTGTGGTCCGGAACTCAAGTGGGGAAAAAATTTCGCTGGCTGGCTCGCTGACTCGACGCGCTAATATCAATCGCACGAACACAGTAACACACGAGAGCGATCACATAACCTCCTCCAACTCCGTTGGGCGGAGGTAACTAGGAACATTGTGAGCTAAAACGATTTAGGCCATAAATCGTGAAGCAGTGTTTGTCCGCAGCTGACAGCTGCTTCCTTTCTCCCTAGCCACATAGAATCAAGAGCGGATAATACCTATTATAATAGGTATTATCCGCTCTTGATAGAATGTAATAGAATGTCGAATGTAGTAATGTACCAACCCCACAATTATGATAAAAGGACCACTGTCATTTTATGGAAGTGTCAATGCTTACACCTATATGGGGTGCCAACGGTAAACATATTATTTAGCACATTATTTAGCGTATAAAGTCATTATTTACTAAATAATGCCTTTATA